ACTGATTGGTGTGTGCATCTGGTCTTGGTGTTTTATGCCCACAACAAATGTCAGAGAGAAGGGGAAGTTATCAGGCAAAACCGAAAGCATTCCATCTCCTGGCCATGTTTTACACATCCCGATAACCTATGACACCCTAACCTCTTTTGTGAGATAACCTGAGAAACGATAGTTTGATTGGGTCAGAGGAGGTGGTTGATGTATCAAGAGAGGAAAGCCAATCTCCAGCTACTAGAAAGATGCTCTTAATCACTGCTACAAGTTTGGAAGAAAATGACACAATCTTTGAGTGATTTTGAAACAAATTGTGGCCTTGATACTCCCGCAATTAAGAGAGGGAATTGGCACACATCTTTTCCAGCTTTGTATGGGTGAGAGTGGAATTCTTGTGTATCACTTACAAATTAGGCAACCTTTTCATGGTAAAACCAACATGATTCGCCATATTGTTTCCCACTTTGATCCTATCTGATTCAGTTGTATGAATGTTTTACATATCAGCCTTTGGTAAGAATAGGAGGCTAATTTGATTCTCCTATACAGAAGCCAGATACTGAGTCTCATTACTTAGCAAACCAATAGGAGTTGGCTTGATCTGCCACTGGTGGCAATCCAATGATAAACCTTTGACACAGCCTGTCCCTGCTTGGCCTGGCTTGGTGATAGTAAGCTGTGTGATACTGTTGTGTATCTGGGTGAATGATTTCACCAACTGATGTGGATCGATATTGTCAGTGGCATGCACTCGGTGAAGGTACTGAATGATTTCTCTAGGGAAACTCGCAACAAATGTTCATTTCACTTGTAATAGACATTTGTGGCATCGTGGAACAGCATTACATTGACCCTGTTGATGTTAGATGTGCTGCAGACCATCTCAGAATACTGATGGTATCAATGTGTTTTCATGTAATATGAGGGGCAGTCTGTAGCCTAGTGGTTAAAGCGTTCGCTTGTCACGCCGAAGACCTAGGTTTGATTCCTCACATAGGTACAATGTGTGAAGCCCATTTCTGGTGTCCCCTGCCATGATATTGCTGGAATATTGCTAAAAGCGGCGAAAAAACATACTCACTCACTCACACACTCACTCACTCACTCACTCACTCACTCACTCACTCACTCACTCACTCACTACACATCAAATATGATAGGTCATATATATTTCATATACAGTTTCACCAGATATAAGAGTACATTTTCTTGGTAATTATTTTTTACTCTCCACTGTATGTGTACTTCATTATTCTCCTTTAGAACATCTCATGACCAAATCACTTCTATCCAGAATGTTGCTGAAGGTTAAGAAATGAACTGTCAGCGTTATTAGTCTCAACAAGTTCCAACAAGCCTGCCTAGAGGAAATGAAACTGACGAGTCAGCAAGACAGTTGCATGAGAAATAGTCTCTCCTCCAGCTCTTAATGGATTATGGGTAATTAGTAGATTGTCTCAAATGATGCATGCATGCATCACATTGATTTGAACAGTCTAACATACTAGGTCACAATAACATACATTATAGATGTTTGACTTGGAGAGGGTGAGATTGCCTAGTGGGTGGTGTTCCAAACTGATGACATGGGTTTGATTTCCCACAAGGTAACAATGTCAGGGTTCTCATGGTTTAGCATTGACTAACATATATGAAAGTCTATGAAATCTTTTATTACACAATATCTTTGTCACCTCTATACATGTTTTTCTATATGGTGATTTTTGTGAAATAGAGATATGAGGGGCATTCAATAAGTTTTGCAACTTCATTATAAGACCAAGTCGCAGAATATCTTTTGCACTTTTATTTTTCAATATAATCTCCATTCACCTAAATACACTTATTCCATTTGTCCTTCAAGCTATGAATACCACTTTTATAGAAATCCGCAGATTGGCCCTCTAATCACGCCTCTGTGGCAGCCTTTATTTTCCTCGTCATCATCCTAGAAGCGTCTTCCACGTAGGGCAGATTTCATTTGCCGGAACAGGAAATAGTCACTGGGGGCTAAGTCTGGGCTGTAGGGTGGGTGATTTAACTGTTCGAATCCACATTCACATATGGCAGCCTGTGCAATTCTTGACTTGTGAACCGGAGCATGTAAGGAACTTCATTACAGCGCGTTGTTCATGTTTGAGAGAATCCATGATTGTGACTACCCTTAGGTAAATGAAGCCATCACATCTAACTTATTGTTGTGTCTGGAACTTGTTATGACACGTGTCAACCTGATGTTATGACTAGTGTCACACCTGCCACAAGTTGACATTGTTTGTGTAAACACAAATACCCAAGTTGCAAAACTTATTGAACACCCCTCGTAGCTAGACTTGCTTTTGTACAACCTAGATTCTTTTTATTGTCATAACATACATGTATTCCTCAGTCATGGTGCAGGCACCCGGGTAGCCTAGTGGTTAAAGCGTTCGCTCATCATGCTGAAGGCCGGAGTACGATTCCCCACATGGGTACAATGCATGAAGCCCAGTTCTGGTGTCCCTCGCCATGATATTGCTGGAATATTGCTAAAAGGGGCGTAAAACCATACTCATTCCCACAGTCATGGGCCCACTTGCGATCTTAGCGCTAAGATGATCGTAACTCCCATACTTTAACATAGGCTTACAATCATCGTTGCACTAAGATCGCTTTGTGCAACTGGGGCCTGGTGCAGGACTAGGTTTAGCCCAACTGTTATATTGCTGGTGTATTGCTTCTATCATCATAAACATTGCCCACCTGCTGACTCTGATGTACTTCATTGCATATGATGAATAGACTTGCATCTCTGATTGTCTGTGACTGAGATGTAATTGGGTGGATCAATACTATTATCACAACCCTATGGATATTGAATGAAGACGGAGGCATGCTCAGAGAGGTGGGTGAACAGCCTACAGTGATGATTAGTTCCTTGGCTCTGAGGATGAAGGTCTTGGCTCAGTGTCCCTCAAGGGTACAGTTTGTAAGCTGGGTGTTAGTGCCTGCAATAATGAAGTCAGTTGCTGCAAAGACAAAACCACTTTTTACTCACTCAGCAACTGGAGACTGTACCTTAATTTATTTGACCGCCTCCGTGGTCTTGTGGTAGAGCGTCCGCCCGGATAGCGGAAGGTCCAGGGTTCGATCCCGGGCCGCGTCATACAAAAAGACGTTAAAAGATTGTACTTGTTGTTACCCTGTCTGGCGCTCGGCATTAAGGGGCTAAAACAAGGACTGGTCAGCTCGGAGTCAGTATACGGTGTCTGAGTGGGGTATTCATGTTAAACTGCGGCATGGTATCTCAGTGAGCTAGCACTATAAATCGGCATCAGTCTGGACTAGTACAAGCAGCCACACACACACACATACACGTGCATGCACGTCGCTATATAAGTGCAATAATCTTGGACACGACGTTAAACCCAATTTCACCTCACCTTAATTTATTTATGCCTTCTCTACTCCAATGGGAAGGTATGATGAAATATATGTCTTTGCTGTATCAGAAGGCCAGAATTGGTCCCGGGTGTCTCTTTGGCTGGTGATAGTCAGTGGTCTGTTTACCCTTGCGATGTGCTAAAGCGGTATGGACAGTTGTGTGCATGATCTTCACATAAGAAGGCCTGGACGGTTCCCCAGTGGCTGTGCACAGGGGAGAACCCCAGCATGGTTGTTATCATAGCGTCAGATCAGACAGGGATAGATGTAGAAATACAGGACATCTTGATCTTGGTATGTCGATAGGAAGTTTTCAGTGAGTGGCCAGGGCCCCGATCCACAAAGCCTTCGTAACTTACACATATCGTAAGAGTTTACGATTGAAATTAAGATAATTTTACTAATATTTACGACCGATCCACAAAGCGTTCTTAATCCGTTCGTAAATTCATCGTCTTACGATCATTGTCGTAAATTAAGATTGTCGCTCTCCTGTGATGGAGGTAAGAATATAGGGGGATTCCCCAATGACGTCATTAATTTACAGGGGAATCCCTTCACTGTATGAGCAGACGACGCCAGTCGTATCTATATCAAGCGATCATGGATGCTAGTCAACCATTGACATTGAAACGCCAAAGGAGCAAGAACTGGACTAACAGTGAGTTAATAGAGGGTGTACAGTCGAAGAAAAACGTGTTGTTTTCGTCATTTACCAACAATTTGACGAACAGAATGAAGAAGAAAGCATGGGAGGACATTTCACAGAGGTGAGTGATTCAATGAAATTGTGTGTGTGTGTGTGTGTGTGTGTGTGTGTGTGGAAGAGGGGGGGGGGGGGGGGTCATATGTCTGGTATAAACTGGAGTACAAATATGTAAAAAATGATCACGTAATACATCGATGTTTTATGTTGAATATTGCAGGGCGAGGAAAGCATTCTGGCGGTAAATATCTGTAGGCTATCTCACCAACCTGTCAACAGGGTGTTACTTCATCAACCCGTCTTTGGTAATAACTTGATGCAAAGGATATACATAAGCTGGAACTAGCGCTGCAGTGTCACGAGCAGCCATTTTGTCACTTAGAAAGGGACACCACTCTCTCCGTATTTTAGACGAGACATTCTCGGTACATTATGTTGCTGGGATTTTAGAGTTCTAACCCTTCACTCTATTACTTTTATTCTTGACAATTTATTAAAGTTCACTGATCTTGTTTCAGCATCAGTGCAAACAGTGGTGTCAAGAGACTGACCAAAGATGTTAAAAAGAAGTGGATGGACTACAAGTATGTGTATACAATTTAGAACATAACATTATTTTATGTAAACAATTACTCATTGCATGGTATAAAACATGTGCTTGTCCTGACATACATGTACATGTTCTGTGAAACATTCATATTTAGCTGTTATTAAATATAAATTAAAATTGTTTATACTGGTACTTTTTTATAGATAATACGAGGTGTGTTTGCTCATTTATACATTTTGTTCCATCAGGAGTCAAACAAGGAAAAAAGAAGCTGAAAGAAGGAGGGAGGCAATGAGAACTGGTGGGGGGCCTCCACCATCCAACCTCACTGAAATGGAACAGCGGGTGAGCCTACAGTTTCTTTTTCAATCTTGAATTTCATAAATGCTATATCATTGGGTGTGTTTTTTTTCTTATATGTGGGCATATTGAGTACTCAACAAGTACAAATGAATAAAGTTGCTGTTGAATTGTAATTTTACAATTTATATGAAAAGCTCTTAAAGGAGCAGATAGATTGTGATTATAACAAACAGGTAATCTTTTGACCAATAAGTTATTAGGTAAAGTACTTCATTCCTTATTACAGAGAACATTAACATTGTAACATGCATTGAAAGAAATATTGATTTCAGGTTGTATCATTCATACCTCCCTGCTCGATTCAAGGCTGTGAGGGTGGCCTTGAAAGTGAAGAATATGAAAGTAAGTTGCGTAATTGGTTGTGTGAATGGCTGTATGTGCAGTTGTTTACTTAACCGGTCTCATAGTTTATGTTAATGACCATATGTCAGATATATTATAGATTATCTCATACAGTAAAGGTAATTGTGATCATGTAAGATAAAAGATGAAGTATAAACTTAAAGTTGATTTTGAAATTGGATTAATAGTTCCATGAATAACCATACTTTTTGTAGATTTTGCCTCTTTTCATTGCAGAGAAATTGGTAAATTGGAACTACATGTATCATATTACTTACAGACACTACCCCAGCAACTCCAGTTTTTCCAGAGACTCTTCAAGCCCTGCAGGACTTGCCTTGTGATGGGGCCTTTGTGCCACCAACATACATCATGTACTCAGAGAGTGTGATGTCGGCAGATGATGTTCCTCAAGGTATTACCATATACATAATGGAAATACTGCACAATAAATTTAATAAAACTTTCAAGGTTCTGGGTGGGGAGAGATTTGCAACTGTGATAGTTTATTGCAGGTATACCTACCACAAGATAAGATGAAATCATGTAAACAACATCACAGTTCTTAGAAATACAGTTCATGGATTTTAATTGTATCTCCAATCTCTGTATGTGTTTATGTATTATGTATTACAGGGAGAGAGGTGTTTACTTAATATTCCTGTGGATATGTTTTAAATAAAACATTCACATGTCTCAGTTAAATGATTTGTTTCTTTAATACAGTTGATGCAGTTTCAGATGTTAAGGCCACAAAGACTCTCAGTGGTATGTACATCAATACATCAAATTTGTAATGATAGAAAGAGAAAAAATGTAATTTACTCAAGAAACCCTGATTTTTGTTTTGATAAAGTTTGCATACAGATGGACGAGACATAACTGTTGCTGTGAGACTTGTGTTATGTAAAATGAAAATTTCTTTCAGACAAAGATAACATTCTGAACATAGAGAGGGAGAAACTGAATGTGCTGAAAGAGCTTCTTGAGGTCGAAAAAAAGAGATTACATGTGGAAGAACAGAAATTGGCCTACATCATTTCTCTGGAAGCTGGCCACTCTGGCCAACTGAATGTATCACCAGTTATTCAGTTCCTTTAAACTTTGATTAATTTTCCCAAATATAAAAATTCATACTGATAATGTAGCTTCTGTTGTCATTTATCATCGGTTACAAAAAGTCGTTTATCTTAATCATACAATCATTTAGAGAAACAGTTATTGACGACAGCTTGTCGGACTTTGAGGCCGTCATTGAGAGGTCCCAGGTAAGCTATCCCATCTTCTTGGATCAGGTCTTCTTGTGTAGGAGGAGCTGGCAATCTTAGGCTGATGCAGAAGTTATGCAGCTGACAGGTTGCATACACAACTTGATGGCATTTTGGGGGGGTGAACGGCAGGCAGCCACCTGATTTATGTAGGCACCTAATAATGTATATAAACACAAACATTACCCTTTGTTCAGAATGCAGATAAGATAGACTAGTCGCATTATGATGTGTAAAACTTGAAATATTCTTAAAAGACCATATCTCTGATTTACTTTAAAGTATGAGTATTATCTTAAAGCATAACATCTTAATCTGTCATTAGCACAAACATATGCCATACTAATGTCTCAAATATTGAAAAATGATATATATGCTTGTGTAGAATAAGGGATGAACATATACATGCCTGAACCTGGATTTAAGGAGTCCAAAGGCCCTCTCCACAGTGTTGCGTGTTCTGCAGTGTGCAGTGTTGTAACATTCCTCAGACGGTGTTGTAGGGTTAACTATTGGCGTAAGCAGCCATGGGCGACATGCATATCTGATGGAAAAATTGTAAATCTGTTAAACATACTGACCATACCATTAAATATTGAAATACAACTTAAAATACCAGCTTATATATTTCACTTCAAATGTTATTTCATTTCGTGACAATTTTATTGGTGTCAGTTTACATTGTGAAATTTGGGATTAAGTACAAGGGGAAATCACTTTCACGCAGAGCTAGATTTTATGGGCGCTGCTTTCAATTTATGATCAATATATTTTAAAGTGACTAATATGAAATAAACATTGGAATCTGAAAATCACATTATGATTACAGTATCGTCTTTTGTGTGCCAAGTTACAAAATATCAACTTCTTGTTTATGTGTTTTCATATCTCTGTAGTGGTTACAATACAACTTATGTTTACACAAATGATTTGCTGTTACCCTGAATCGCCTAGCAGCCATCCGTCATTCCCAGCAGTCTCCATATACTGCCCAATCTTGCTGTTTTGTAGCATGAACGAATCATGAGTTGAACCAGGCCACTTGGAAACCACACTTGTAAACCTTTTGATTATATATACATATTTATAATTCTTCCATCAGCCATGCATTCATAAATCGATATTAAAGTTATTTTCTCAAGTCCCTGTGTGTGTGTGATAGTCCAACTGGCTGTTTACAGTTTTCTTTATTCTTTATTTATTCAGCAGTGAGCATTGCTTTAAGTACTAAAACAATCGTCCTTTATCACAATGGTAATTCCGCACGGTAATAGAAACCTGTATTGGACCTCATGACAAAACCCATGTTGGGCCTTACGTAATGATTGGTCAACAAAATGAGTAGGTGGCACCACTAGTCATTGTCAAGGTCATTAAAGAGAGTAAACAAGGTGTGTATCCTTCGATGTTTCCCTGAATAATGTTGTTATTACGTCTGTATACGAATGATTGATTCTTACTGACCCTATCAATTGTTAAATAAGGATGTTGCTGGGTGTTGTTGTTAACGTCTGTGAAGTGTGATGTACCTTAGTTCTGCGTCACAGACAGCTTGTACGTTTACGGCATGGAAGCCCTTCCTGCAAACGTAAACCGCTTCTTCATCCCCGGTGGGTCGCATGATAGGTATGAGGGTGCCATCTATACAACCAAGCACTTTTGGAAATCTGCTAATGTTATAAAATGCTTCCTTCGTGACACGTTGGTCGGATGTTGCCTTTGGGAACGAAATAAGTTTTAGTTGTTTGACAATGGCTTCATTTGTACGGGTAAACACCCGTGACACAGTGGACTGGGATACCCCATGCAAGTCTGCTAGTTCAGTGAAGAAAGACCCCTTACTATAAAACCTGAGGGCAATCAAAACCTGTGTTTCCGGGGACAATGCATGGGAACGCTCTGTTTCGGAAGCAAGATATGGTTTCAGTAAGTCTATAAGTTTAAATATGGCATGACGTGGTAGCCGGTAGCGCCGGATTATGCTGTCATCATCGAGCGTGTCAAGTACTCGACTTCGGTCTCGAAACACCCTTGGTCGTGATCGTGTTGCCTTTTCTTTTAATATGCCAAGCAAAAAATATGCCGCCATCTTGATACTAAAGTTACGACAGAAATGCTTGATTTACGATAGGTACTGACCACTCATAATTTTTCTCTTAACTTTACGAGATATTTTCACTAAGATAGCTTTGTGGATCGCTTAAGATTTTTGTCTTAAATTTACGACGGGTTTTACGATGTTCGTAGCGCTACGAAGGCTTTGTGGATCGGGGCCCAGAGCCTCAACAGAGCAGCAGATGCTGATAAGGAGTATACAATGTATGTCATTGCCATCATATTGGATAGGGCTTGTTGATTGAAATGTGTATAGAAATCTGCTGCTTGTCCTCAGTATGATGTATACTGTGTTTACTCAATATGTATGGAGTTGTTGGGTGGCCAAGTGGTTAATGTGGTTGTTGATGGGTTCAATTCTCTGTATGAATGTCTTTCTGTGACATCACTCCCTAGCATACTAAAATAGCTAAGACCTTTTCTTGCAACCCCACTCCCTCCAAATATTCATGTCGACTGCTGCTCTTAGAGAAAAAAATGCTTTACTGATATTTCATCTTGTCAGTACTCTTCCCAAATGCTGGTCCATCCTCCTGGTATGGCTGTGTTGCTTCTTTGCCTTGACCTGGGTTTGTCCAGGAAGTTGCGCTGAGTGTTTTGCGTAAGAAGTATTGATCCCAGTGTCTGTTGCCTGGCTTACAGCTATTGTCTATCACAGATCAGAGAATACAACCACTTAGCACTGTACAGCTTTGTACTTGGTGGAGTAGGAGACACATCTGATATGGTGTCTGTCAGACATGGGAAAGGTCATTGTCTCTGTGCTAATGCCTGCTTCTATTTCTGTTATCCTGGAAGTCATATTATGCAAATATTGATGCTGTGGGTAGAGCAAGTATAGGTACTTATGTGAAAGGTTACAAAAAATAGGTTTGAATTAAGAAAAGTAAAAATAATGTTAGTAGTCTTTTCAGTACAAGTTTGTTTTCCAAGGATGACAGAATGTATTTGAAAACGTTTCATCATATGTGACCAGATCTGACCATTTTATGCAGGCTTAAAATGGAATTGTGGCACAGATTAGTCTGATATGGTTATATTTGAAGGATCACTTCATATCTCCTTGATAGAACTTATGTCTTTTATATGATACATGTCCTTGTACAACTTTTTGACTCCTAAAACCCTTGATACCTAATATGAACTTCATCTACCAACATTTTATGCATAATTCAAGAAATATTATATTTCAAGCTCTTGAAAACACCTCCCCTTTAAAAGATTGAAGATTAATCTGACTCTGAATGGGGTTTGAACCTAAGGGACAGCCATTGTTGAATATTTAATGCGTTACCAACTTCAGTTTGTATAGTGGTACGATAGTGACAGCTCTCCCTGTGTGTAACAGCTAATGGTGTTGGGGAATATTTCCTCCGAGACGTGGAACACAAGTCCTTGCACTTACTTATACACCACACGATACTGAGCTGAATAAGGGTGCAGTTGTTATGTGATCACCTTGTGTTGGATCTAGGGCTTTTCAAGTACCTTGTGGTTTTGCACGGAATTCAGTTTGCCATTCTGGGGAGGGATGGAAATAGTCCTCTTGAGCTTAACTCTTAACATATTGGGATTGTGTGATTTTGCTCGTGTGATCACCGGTGATATAGTTACGTTGGACGCAGTGTTCAACCTGTTGGATGTCTAGAGTGTTGAATCAGATGTCTGGAATGACTTACATAACAGTATGTGTTCCAAGGTTCATGTTTAATAGGTAAAATCTATGAATAGTGTTAGTAGGGATGGGTGGAGCGAATGATGGTTACAATGTTGAAGAGAAAGAGTAAATATTATTTAGAAAGATTTTCCTTGGGAATGTGAGAAAAAAAGATAAATAATATTTTTTTTAGAAATTTATTTTGACAAGCCAATTTGTGTATCCCTGATATTTTTGGAAGTGATCAGGAAAATGTTTTTGCATAATCACTTTTGTATGTACACAGACAATATATGAGGTCATGAAAACTAGGTGGTGTAAGAAACCCAGGAAGTAATCATATCAATATCAGAAGCAACAGTAATTCATCCGTCAGAATTTCACCCGACAAATATTGATTTTCCATTGAAATTCCCCCAAATTGAAGCAAGGAGACAATTAATGGTGCTGTGTCCAGCCAGCGGGTGTGAAGAGAGTGAGCTATCAGATGTGTGTGATGACTCAGCCCTGGTAGCACACAGCTCACAATCCTCTCCACAGCTGGCACTGGCCATGTTGTGATCAGGGCAGCAGGAGGCCAAGGGGAGGCAACTCTCAACAACACTACTGCCTTTGTTGCTGGCAGGGAAAGTTGGATAGAAATGTTGGCCAAGTGTGTTCTGTGACATTTCAGAGATTCGATGAACCTTTTCTCTGTGGATTGTACTTTTATTTGTGTGTGAAGAGTTGTGTTTGGATACCCTTCAGTTATCAAGGTGAGTTTTGACTGTTCTGATTCAAAACGGTCAGGCTTTCTGACAGCATATTTCCACACATTGTTATCCAGACTTGGCATGCCTTCAGTGCCAGGCTGAGCCAGTGAAAGCATCTGGCACCGATCAGGTTCAATGGAGACCAGGTCTGGGGAAATGACTTTCAATAACTTGATGTATAAAACTGTATGGCTGCACTCTACTATGCTGCACATACTTGTGTATTAAACATGCATTGTTATCGTGGAGGGTGTTATTGGAACATTTAACTCCTCCAGTTCGTCCATGTGCTCCTCAGTGAAGCAAGCCATGTGGGGGGAGGCTAACTTCCTGTTTCCTCAACTTAATTATACTACGCTCCTTGGAATTAGAATTTGAGCTGCCTGAATACTTCAGCTGAAAAGTTTCTTGTTATAATTAATGCAGTATGGAAAACAGAAAATATTACATGTCCAAGATTGATGTAATCATAGCCATGAGAATCAGTTGTGCAACAAAACTGCATTTGGTTTTGACCCATATCTTATTGACAAATTTTTTGATCAATTTGATATTGTCACACAAAAATTATTAGATATTTTTATATTTTTTTAATTCTCTATATGAATCAAGTAAACATTTACAAAAACTGTTATTGAATATAATGCCAAGTATACCTGTTTGAATTATTTTCTCCGACAAAGTTATGTACTCAATACTTAATAACATTATCAACTAGTTTCTGATTTTATGACTAAATATGTTTCTTAATTTGAAGAAAGATTGATATTCAATGTTCCTTCTGCAAGGATAGAATATGCTTTTGTTGTGCAATGAGAGACAATATGGACGAGGCGTCACCTCTGTTCTGATAGTTAGATATCATTAATGAAGGAAAGAAAATGATATGATGTTTACTTGATACTTCAGGTGAGGCTGACCCATTTATATAAAGCTTCCAAATATTTTTGCACAAATGTCATGTTTTTATCTGAGTAATCTCCCTTGGGGTGATAGAATTTCTTCATGACAGAATCAGATTAGTGGTTTGGGATAGGATGGCTTCTCTTTGATTTTTGCCATTAAACTGCTGTCTTTGAAGAAACTGGCTTCCCAGCAAACTGGATTCCAATATGATTGCCTGTGATGATTGTCTTTTCAATCCAACTTGTCAATTTGTCATCAAAGGCCAGCATATTGCTGTAATTCAGTAATTTACTCTTTTATGAAAACTCAGTTTTCTGTTTTCCCTGACAGAATTTGTGTGTAATGATATCATCTTAATTCAGTGTAATTGCCTTATAATGCAGACTTGGGATAAACTAGTTCTTAAGCAAAGTAGCTAGTAGACAGTGAGAATATTCATTTGAGAGGGCTTCCATAAGTTCCCTGTTTTTGACTAGCATACTTTTTAATCTGTTATTTCAAACATGTCGGAACTTATCCTTTCCTGGATTATGAAGGATTCCTCTGTGATACGAGACCGGTGAAGATCTGGGGTTGAATAGGTCTTCAGCAACCCAAGCTTGCTGTAAAAGGCTACTATGCTTGTCATAAGAGGTGACTAGACGGGATAGGGTGGTCAGGCTCGTTGACTTGGTTGATG